AGACGATGCTCGGTTAACATCACGGCGCACCTGCACCCAGTCAATGGCGTTAGTTCCGAGTCCCATGTCACGACCACTATTACGATGCGAGTGAGACGGAGCCGGTGACACGGCGTCTATCCCTCTGTTACTCTTGGTTGGAGAATTTGACCCGACCGAAATGCTACTCCTTGCGCTGGCTGCACCAGTCTTGGCGGTTTCAAATATCTTTTTGAAAAAGCCTTGCTTTTTGCTTTTTGGCGTTGAAAGACCGCCAAAAACTCCGCTATGATCCGTCGAGTCCAGGCCGGTGGAAGTCCACGGAATAGCCGATGATGCACCTTGGCGAGAGGAGTTATGACTGGAATGATAGGAAACACCAGTGAATGGCGTTTCCGGGCGAGCATCACTGTATCCTCGGGAGCGGACGGTGTCCATAGCTGTATTCGGCCTCTCACTCCCGCCTCGCCTAGCAAAGCTCCCCGCACTCGTCGCACTGAATCCCCCTGCGGAGAAACCACTCATCACACTTTGACCAGTCTTGTCTGTGCTCGTCGTCATGGATGTGCCATTGCTTTGCATTCCACTGGACGAATTGGTGGTACTAGACTTATTGGTAAATGTCCGGTTGAGAATATCACCGCGGAGATCATGGCCGGAACGCCGGGTCTTGAGGGGAGCGTATTGTCCTGGTATAGAATTATTTCGCGGGTGGTAGGTGGCATGTTTTGGGGGAGGGGGAGGAGGTCCGTTGTCATCCTGACCGCCTGTTCGATCCTCAGACGATCGATTTTGATCTTCCAGCTGACGTAGGCGGCTCTCCATCCTTTGAACATAATTGTTCAGTTGAGGTGGACCATCCATGTGGTCATGGCTATAAACGCTGTTGCGATGGACGAGTCCGCCCTGCGGTTGCTCTTTGTCTCCTTCGAAGCCCATTGAGGTTAAATCCCGGCGTCTGTTCCCCTGGGGGGTCCTTTCGTGAGAGGTATCAAACTCTTCTGGGGACCAGGGCTCGTTGAAAACCGGGGACGGAGAGGGCGACTGGTCTTGGCGTGGGAGACCCATGTCTTCCAGTGAAGTCATAACATCTTCCATGGCATCTCGGAGCGGAGATGGCGTATTTCCATGCATATCGGATTGTCCCGAGGTTGCAGAAAGAGCAGAGTGCATTGAGGCCGCAGATGGAGATGGGGTTCGATTGAGTGTCGTGTAACGGTCATTCATAACTAGTGGCGTGGGGGATCGTGACGGGTTTGGATAGTGTGATGGCGGGTTAGGAGAGTGTGCGCGATCTTGAGATGAGTGCATAGGTGGGAGCGGCGAATGACTTCGTGTTTGAGAATGTATTGGAGGCTGAGGAGAGTGTGAGCCCGAACGACCGACAACGACTCGGTGTGGCGGCGGCGGAGGGGGAGGGGGAGAGTCTTCCCGCTCTTCGTGCATTTGCACCGGAGACGGCTCACGAGACGGAACCCGATAAGATGACATACCCCCGCCAGAGACGAGTGCAGATGGATGTTCTCGTGCTGGTAATGGCGATGGAGCCCGGTAGGAGGACATACTTCCATGCGGCACTGGTGCAGGTGGATGATCCTCCATGTACAGTGGCGATTGGCTACGCGATGGAGCCCGGTACATACCACCATGTGAACTCATTGTAGAATGCTCGTGCATTGGCGGCGGGGACGGCCCGCGCGATGGGGCCCGGTAAGATGTGTAACGCCCGTATGGGACCATTGCAGACGAATTATCTTGAATTTGTAATGGCGATGCAGCCCGATAAGATGGCATACTACCATATGGCATCCTCGCAGGTGAATGATCCTCCATATACATTGGCGTTGGCTCACGCGACTGTGCCTGATAGGATGAGATACCCCCAGGGGGGATCGTGGGAGGAGGATATTCTTGCATTTGCAACGGAGATGGCTCACGCGATGAGCCCCGGTAAGATGAAGTAATGCCCTGTGGCATGGCCTGGGACGCATAATCCTGCATTTGCAACGGAGACGGCTCACGAGATGAAGCCCGATAAAGGGGAGTACTGCCTTGTGTGATGATTCCAGACGAATATTCGCGTATTGGCAAAGGGGATGGGCTGCGACGGGTAGATGAGAGGCTGCCATTTGAGGTGTTTGCATATGAACGTTCCTGCGATTGTAATGGAGGTTGGTCGCGGGATGAAGGCCGAGAGGATGAGACGCTTCCCCTCGGCAGCATTGATGGTGACCGTTCAGGCTCTGCGGACGAACGAGGGGAGACGTTATGTGACGAGGGCCGCGATGTGGATGATGTGGGTCGAGCTAGCGAGCCTTGGTTCCTGACTGCTGTCGCATGCGTGCGCAATGGCCTAGTACTTCGTGAAATACCGCCAGCCCGAGGTGGTGTTTGAGGAATCGCAGGTGCGGCCGGGCTGGTTGCGGTTGCGCGCCGAGCGACAGATGCTGGTGATACGGCCTCCTTATGCGCCTGGAAGGGTTTCCGCCAAACGGTCTTCTGTTTCTTGGGAGCTGATGTGGGATTATTGATCGGAGAAGATCCCGCTAGCACCATTGGACTAGTAGTATCGCGGCTTACGGGCACAAAGTCTTCACCCAGGAGCTCGACAAAATTTGACGGGAACAGTCCAACCGCCCGCCTGTCACGGCGCAACCGCCCCATCCACCATTGTCCATCGCCTGCGTTCAAGCATTCGATCAAGTCACCCTCCACAAATCCCAGATCTCGTGTAGTCTCTCCACCCCATGAATATACTGCTCGGCACCAGCATGGAAACCGCATTGGCAGCTGAGCCATGATGATCACTTGAACACGGTTCCGTCGAGCGCAACCCACGGGATCGACCTAATAGGCTGTTTCAACACCTGGCGCACTTGTGACAAGTCCACGTCCAAGTGAAGGTAGGAAAATGATGTATCAATCGATGAGGTTGTGTTGTTGATTCGAACCTGATACAACACAGCTTGGTCGGATAGGTGACAAGGTCCGCACGGCCGCAGGGATAGCAATGATCGCTCAATCAATCAGCATTGTCGGAATAAGGAGTTTAATTGGGTATTCAAAATAAAAAGGATTAGCGAATAAAGATTGAACTGCACCAAATGGAGCCAAGGAACCGGTTGCTAAGACGTGAGAAGGTAGAGCGATTCAAATCGGTGAGGCCTAAGACGACAATTGGGGCGTAAACCGGGACTGGGGTTGTTTGTTTGTGGCCCGATCGAGACTAGCGGCGGAGGGCTGGCTTATCGATAAGCTTAATGCAGATTATGTAATATCTCCTATTTCCCGATCGTTCAAAGGTCATTCCTCTTCCTGGAGGTTATCTCCCTATATGTATGTGTGTGGATTTCTCTAAATCAAGCCCTGCAGTGGCATATTACTCGAGCACCTCAATATATATATACCCCCAGATGTTGCGACTTCTATGAAAAGGCCGGAGCCGTACCCGATCCATGGTTCGGTGTTGAACAACCCTGGTACACTCGACAACAGAGGATCCCTGGCGGATCTTTATTTTCACTTGCTGGGTCTGTATTAGAATGAATAATCCTGAGGACTGCCTTAGAAAGGTGAGATACTCGGGGATTGTTAGATCTAGATCTCTAGGAGAACCTCGGAACAGAACTGTCGAGGACTAACTCTTATTTTTATTTATAGATATTTGCACCTAGTTCGAGTCTGAAACTAAGAAATCTAGTTTACTACTCCATACTCAGCGGAGGCATGTTCTTAGTATCCAGGTAGAACAGAAAGATCGATGACTTGTTGACTTGTTGATTGTGCAGAATCTCAGACAACTGACGATATATATAAGCTCAGTACTAGTACTTTTGGATTGCCCCTCTTTCCTTCCTTCCAAGCTTCCTTTCGGCCGCGGAATTACACAAAATCCCACACAGTATTATGTCTTGAGTTGAATAGCTATGCTTTAATCCTCCAAGGGGCTACGCATAGACGCTTTAATCCGTCCGCACACTTACCCACTTGAGGCAACTAAATCAAAGACAAAACGAAAATTGCAAGCAAGCAATTTGAGCTATTGAAGTCTTTACATTATGCATCATAACTCCAAAAATCGGGAAATTGGATAGCCCATGTCATTCTACAATAGGCTGCCGGATCGGGAATTGCCACATTCTCACCGCGGCCACGGAATCTCTAGCCACGCACAAACAGTCTACTGTTTCGGATCACCCAGACACCCCTTGAATTATCTTGGATCCTGACTAGGAATGAGCTTGCATCCCTCGGCCTTCTAGTCTGGGTTAAAAGGGGAAGTTGTTTGAGGTCAAAGCTTCCCCAGCCACCTGAACATTCCCTAGTGAACACCCAGGCTGCCTATCTTTGCCAAACTATGCAAATTCGACAAACAATAATTTGTCAAAAATGCAAACATATCTGCGGCTAGTATCAAGACAAGATTCCAGCTGGCCTAAATTCTGGCTGTACTACCATCATCGGTTTGCACGAGACTATTGAAGTTGATCCTAATGCTGGGTCAGTCTTAAGTTCATCAGTGCCGCGTCTAATGGTAGCTACATCTAACCTCAGTTTGCTGAGAGTGTTAACATCTTCAGCGGTGAGCGCTACACCGCGATGATCAAGCTTGACAAGCCTTAGAAGGAATACACCATTCCAGATACCCAAGCCGATCAGGTATTTTCTGGGTTTGCTACAATGAAATACAAGGGTTCCCAGGACACAACCGCGTCTCAACCTTACGTGGATTACGGCGGAAGAAACACCCCCGCTTTTGTCGTTGCTCTGGAAAACAAGGCTATCAAGAATTACCCTGCTGTCACTATCCCTAAAGCCACCAATCAACTTGAACCTCACCATTGGCCGTTTGGGCTCGTCTTACACATGGACTACTTCAGGTAGTGGTTTGTACGACATGATGGCTAACTGGGACGACCCGATTCTCTATAAGTATCAACGCGAAGAACAACCTAGAGCCGCAGGTTACCATTCAAACCAAAAATGGGACCTGGGTCGATCTGTTGCTCTAGTTGGGTGAAATGCCCAACAGTCCTGCCATCCAAGCCCCGCATGTAATGCACAAGCACTCTAACAAGGGTTTCATTCTTAGTGTTAGTCCTGGCATATTCAATTGGTCCAGCACCGAAGAAGCTTATGCTGAATGCCCTGAACTCTTCCAACTCGAGAACCCCCAAATGAGAGATACTTTCGTTACTAATGGACCTAACGGACCAACATGGATGATAGTGCGGTACCAGGTTGTTAACCCTGGACCCTTCATCTTCCACTGCCATATCCAGACTCATATGGCCAATGGAATGGCTGTTGCTCTACTCGACGGTATTGATGTGTGGCCTCAGGTCCCCGAGGGTGAGGACTAGATCCCTCCAACCTCAAACTATAGGCTTGGTGGTAGACGCGTTGCTTAGGCAACGAGTGCCCCACACTAGCTGCAGAGGGAATGTTTCTCAGATCGGTTCGGCCTCAGTAGCACGAGCTCCATCGCGAGGGCGTGGCTATGCTTTTTCTCCCATTCCTGCTAAAGATGACAAGCGTTGGGTTAACTGTACTAATACTTTTTTGATTTTCATTTATCTTGTTATATAATACTAGCTAGGATACCATACATTTTTGTTTTACTATATTTGTTTATATCGTTCTCCTCCGTTTGTTGTAGAAGACAGTCCGTTTGCGTTCATTTATCGGCAGATCTTAGTCCGTCGTCAATCAATGATTTGATTGCTTGAGAACATCTGGATCGCCATGGGGATCGTCCGACGAGCCACGTGTGTAATCTATGGTTTATTCTAGAATGCCAATTGAGTAGTATCTGATATCGAAGGTGCTGAACATTTTTTATTTGAATATCTTATTCATGGCCTAGATGGCACCGTAAGAATGAGAGTGAAAACTTCCAGGCCGCGACCATCTGAAACAAGACTCAATGTCTCAGAAGATAAGTTTTGAAGCTGGAGTCGTGACGTATGAAAAAACATTACAGATGATGCCTGCAGATGATCTACATTTTCTTACTTATTTAAGACATCCCATGCACTATTCTAGATATTGATGATTTCATGCTGAAGAAGGGTCTTTTATACTTATGTGATCCCCTGTTGTTTTGAGAACTTTAGGCAAACAAGCCTCTTTAAGATCTTAATTGAACGTTGATGTATTATTTTATTATTTGAAATTTCTAGTCTAAGAAACTGGGAGATCCTAGGGCAAATAAAATCACGTGATACGTGGAAGCAGCGGCTGTAACCTTCCGAATGCAGCGAGATTATCTCCTTAATTGCAACTTCATAGTAACTTTTCTCCAGCACGGGTCTATAGTCTATGATTCTACTATCATATGATAGATTTGTCACGGACATCCCGGCTCACATACCCGTCCAAAATCCTGATCTCTGCTCTGGGGTCATTGCTCGTTTTATCCGCAAACAGCACTCGGGTATCCGTAGACTATCATCGGTTTGCCGGTTGCTTTAGTAATTCAAACTTATGATTCAGGATCCAATCGGATTATCCAAGGAAACAAGATTCTAGTTCGGTCTAGCCCATCTCCACATAGGCTCTGCTCAGACAAACATACCGAAAATTTGAAGGCGTTATGGAATCGACTGCAGTAACGGTACCATTGGTCTCTTTGAGGATGTATACATCGCAATACCAAAAATACCAAAAATAAGAATTCTCGCTAATACTAGAGAATATGCGGCTAAGATCATACATTTCCCAATGGGTTCAGCCGAGTTACCATACCGTATATCCTGCTATATCCTGATTCAGGAGGAAAAGTATGGGTGCCAAACCTTATGTTTCCCATTTCGATACTACTAAGAAAATTGAAAGGCAGTCTATTACAATCTTCCACTGACGACCCACTAATGGAAAATACTCTATAAAGTATGATATCCTTAAGTTTTCGCCGGACCTGAACCTTTCTTCTTTTTCCATATATCTTTGAAACCATTAATCTGACATAAGGAAGATTATGGAGGGCCCCAGTCATTTGTATCTCTTTGGAGATCAGACTGCGGATTTTGACTCGGGGCTTCGTCGGCTGTTGCATGCTAAGAATGACTCGCTTGTAGCAGCATTCTTCCAAAAGTGCTACTATGCGTTGCGCAAGGAAATCACATCGCTTCCGCCATCCGAACGTCAGGGCTTCCCTCGCTTTACTAGCATCGTTGACCTTCTCGCGAGGTTCAAAGAGTCAGGGCCGAACCCAGCTCTGGAGAGTGCATTGACAACAATTTACCAACTAGGATGCTTCATCCAGTAAGCATATTGCCGCCTTGATATCGAGATGAGATTTTGGAATCAAACTTACTGACAATGCCTTAAGCTACTATGGTGATTTGGGCCATGCCTATCCGTCGGGTGATGACAGCTGCATCATAGGTCTTTGCACCGGTCAACTCGCATCTGCAGCTGTAAGCTCTTCGAAAACCATCGGGGAGCTTATTGCAGCTGGCATTGAGACCGTCCTTGTTTCCTTGAGACTCGGAATGTGCGTTTTGAAAGTACAAGAGCTCATAGAACCAAGCAAATCGGCAACATCAAGCTGGTCTGTACTAATTTCTGGTATGCACGAGCCCGAGGCTCAGGATTTGATTCAACAGTACACGAAGAAGAATGTAAGTCTTTTCCTCCAAAACGGCTTAAAATAAAAGAGGATCATTGTTAATATTTTCAAGGCCTTGCCCCGCGTTTCTCGACCTTATATCAGCGCAGTTAGCCCCAACGGACTCACGATCAGTGGTCCTCCGACTTTCCTGGGCCGTTTCATTGAGTCCAGTCTCTCAAAGGAGCACAAGCCCATAATGGTTCCAATTCACGGCCCTTATCATGCCTCGCATCTATATGATGACAGGGACATTAACCGAATTTTGGAATCGTGGCCTACAGAGAATTTCATGATGTATGTGCCTCAGATCCCTGTGCTGTCAAGTGAGACAGGCAAGGAGCTCCAAGCTGAGAGCCTTGAGCAGCTCTTGAGATTCTCTCTTCAGGAGATTCTACAAAGACAGCTATGCTGGGGCAAGGTCATCCAATCTTGCCAGTCAATCTTGGAATCCACCACAACATGCACTCTGTTCCCAATTTCCAGCACTGCAACCCAGAGCCTATTTAACTCATTGAAAAAGGCTGGAGTCTCCAATCTCGAGGTTGACAGCACACTTGGTGATGTCCGGAAGGATGCTGGTGGAGATAATCGTACCGGCCGTGCTGAGCAGTCCAAAATTGCAATTATTGGTCTTTCAGGAAGATTTCCAGATTCGCCTGACACCGAAGCTTTCTGGGATCTTTTGAAAAAGGGACTGGACGTTCACCGCGAGGTTCCCCCAGAGCGATGGGATGTCAAGGCTCACGTTGACATGGAAGGAAAGAAAAGAAATACCAGCCAAGTCCAATATGGATGCTGGTATGACGACGCGGGCATGTTTGACCCTCGATTTTTCAATATGTCTCCCCGTGAAGCACTTCAAGCAGATCCTGCTCAACGTCTGGCACTCTTGACTGCTTATGAGGCTTTGGAAATGGCAGGCTTCATCCCCGACAGCACGCCCTCTACGCAGAAGAACCGAGTGGGTGTCTTCTATGGAATGACCAGTGATGACTACCGTGAGACCAACAGTGGTCAGGATATTGACACCTACTTTATCCCGGGTGGTAACCGTGCTTTTACTCCCGGCCGCATCAACTACTATTTCAAGTTCAGCGGCCCCAGTGTTAGCGTGGATACCGCTTGCTCCTCAAGTCTTGCGGCAATTCATGTCGCCTGCAATTCCTTGTGGAGGAATGAATGTGATTCTGCCGTGACGGGCGGTGTCAACATCCTGGCAAATCCCGACAATCATGCTGGTCTTGATCGTGGACACTTCCTCTCAAGGACCGGAAACTGTACCACCTTTGATGATGGGGCTGATGGCTATTGCAGAGCAGATGGAGTTGGTTCCATTGTCATTAAGAGACTTGAGGATGCTCAGGCAGACAACGATCCAATCTACGGTATTATTGGAGGAGCTTATACCAACCACTCAGCAGAGGCTGTGTCAATTACTCGGCCTCATGTGGGAGCACAGTCCTTCATCTTTGACAAGCTTCTCAACGAGTCCAACAGCGATCCAAAAGAGATTAGTTATATCGAAATGCACGGAACCGGCACCCAGGCAGGTGATGCAGTGGAGATGCAGTCGGTTCTCGATGTCTTCGCTCCTGACTACCGTCGTGGGCCAACTCAATCTCTTCACCTCGGTTCAGCAAAGTCAAACGTTGGCCATGGAGAGTCTGCCTCTGGTGTCACAGCTCTGATCAAGGTCTTGATGATGATGCGAAAGAACATGATTCCCCCTCACTGTGGCATCAAGACCAAGATCAACCACAACTTCCCGACAGACTTCCCGCAGCGCAATGTGCACATTGCATCTGAAGCTGTCCCCTGGAACAGGCCAAATGGTGGCAAGCGAAAGACTTTCATCAACAATTTCTCGGCCGCCGGAGGCAATACTGCTTTGATGGTCGAGGATGGTCCGCTCAATGAGGAGAATGTGGAAGATATCCGGTCTGCGCATCCTGTGCTTGTTTCGGCTCGGTCCCAGTCTGCACTGAAGAATAATATCTCTGCTCTCGTGCAGTACATCGACACAAACAAGAACTCGTTCAATTCCAACGATGCAAGCCTCCTTGCCAACCTGTCTTACACGACTACAGCGAGACGGATTCATCATCCCTTCAGAGTCGCTGTCACTGGATCCACTCTAGATGAAGTCAGGAGTGCATTGGCTCCTATCGTCAACCGAGACAGCATCAGCCCGGCTCCTGCCAATGCACCTGGCATCGGATTTATCTTCACCGGACAGGGTGCTCAGTACACAGGCATGGGACGCCAATTGTTTGATAGTTGCTCCCAATTCCGTGCTCACATTGAGCACTTGAATTGTCTCTGTGAGGGCCAGGGCTTCCCATCTATTCTGTCTCTGGTCGACGGGAGTGTGCCAATTGAAGAGCATAGCCCGATCGTTACCCAGCTCGGAACAACCTGTGTGCAAATGGCATTGACAAAGTACTGGATGTCTCTGGGTATTGTACCTACCTTTGTCATTGGCCATAGCCTCGGCGAGTTTGCCGCGCTGAATGCTTCCGGTGTCTTGACAACTAGCGACACAATCTACCTCGCCGGGCGACGAGCCCAGCTTCTCACTGAGCAAATCGAGGTTGGAACGCACGCTATGCTTGCAGTCAAGTCTTCAGTGGCACAGGTCAAGCAGTTCCTTGATGAGGCTACCGAGGTGGCTTGTATCAATGCGCCTAGCGAGACTGTTATCAGTGGCGCAAGCGAGAAAATTGACGAGCTTGCACAAACTCTTACCAACGAAGGGTTCAAGGCTACCAAGTTAAATGTACCTTTTGCTTTCCATTCAGCTCAGGTTGAACCTATACTTGAGAGTCTGGCTGAAATTGGAAAGGGCGTCAATTTCAACGCGCCCACTATTCCATTCGTATCTGCCCTTCTTGGAGACGTCATCAATGAGACCAACAGTGAGTTGCTTGGTACCAACTACCTCACCCGTCACTGCCGGGAGACTGTCAACTTCCTGGGTGCTCTGGAAGCTACCCGGCACTCCAACTTAATAAATGACAAGACTATTTGGGTTGAGATTGGGTCTCACCCGGTCTGCTCCGGAATGGTCAAGGCAACTTTCGGTCCTCAGGCAACTACTGTGGCATCTCTCCGTCGCCAGGAAGACACGTGGAAGGTTCTCTCAACCAGTGTTTCAGCTCTTTATATGGCTGGAATTGACATTCGATGGAAGGAATATCACCAGGACTTCACTGGACACAAAGTTCTCCCACTTCCTTCCTACAAGTGGGATCTCAAGAACTACTGGATTCCTTACACTAATAACTTCTGTCTGCTCAAGGGTGCACCTCCGGTATCAGTGGCTGATGCTGCGCCAGTTTCTGTTTTCTTGTCATCGGCAGCACAAAAGGTTTTGGAGACGAGTGGTGACAATTTGTCGGCGTCTATCGTCATCGAGAATGACATTGCTGATCCCGACCTCAATCGTGTCATTGCAGGTCACAAGGTGAACGGTGCCTGCCTTACTCCATCGGTATGCATATTCTTTTCTCACTTAACAGTCTTGCTTGCTAATTGATTTTTAGTCCCTGTACGCCGATATTGCACAAACGCTCGGTGAATATCTAGTTCAGAACTACAAGCCAGAATGGAAAGATCGCGGATTTGATGTCTGCAACATGGTGGTCCCTAAGCCGCTTATTGCAAAGGGAGGCAAGCAGCTCTTCCGCGTTTCAGCGACCGCAAACTGGGCCGAAGAAAATGCCAAGATGCAGGTGTGGTCTGTGACTCCAGAGGGGAAGAAGATCCTTGACCACGCCACTTGCTACATCAAGTTCTTTGATCCCAGTACTTACGAGGTCGAGTGGAAGCGCAGCTCTTACCTCATCAAGCGAAGTATTGAACATCTCCAAGAGAGCACGGTATCCGGCCAGGCTCACCGCATGAAACGAGGAATGGTCTACAAGCTCTTTGCTTCTCTGGTTGATTATGACGAGAACTACAAATCCATTCGAGAAGTCATTCTCGACAGTGACCAACACGAAGCTACCGCTCTGGTCAAATTTGAGGCTCCTCCGGGCAACTTCCATCGCAATCCATTCTGGATTGACAGCATCGGTCACTTGTCTGGCTTCATTATGAACGCTAGTGATAACACCGATTCGAAGAACCAAGTGTTCGTCAATCATGGATGGGACTCGATGAGGTGCTTGAAGAAATTCGATCCCAGCGTCACTTACCGCACTTACGTGAGGATGCAACCCTGGAAAGAGTCTATTTGGGCTGGAGATGTCTATATGTTTGATGGGGATGACATCGTTGCTGTGTTTGGTGGTGTTAAGGTACGTTGAAAAATCGTCCTAGTATTCTCGAATGAAACACTAACAGAATGCGATATAGTTCCAAGCTCTGGCACGGAAAATTCTCGACATGGCTCTTCCTCCCGCTGGAGCGGCAACCAAGCCGGCCGCCAAGCGTGTTCCTGCTCCCGTCAATATCGAGAAGGCAAAGACTGGCTCTGCCAAAAAGGCTGCCCCTTCACCAAGATCGGGAATGCCAAGTCTGACTATGCGTGCTCTTGCAATCCTTGCTGAAGAGGTCGGACTTTCGGCATCTGAGCTGACTGATGACCTCAACTTCGCTGATTACGGAGTTGACTCCCTTCTCTCGCTGACTGTCACTGGGCGATACCGCGAGGACATGGGGCTCGATCTTGACTCCACTATCTTCGTGGATAATCCAACTGTCAAAGACTTCAAAAATCTTCTAGCTCAAATGAGCCCTAGTGAAAGTAGTGACGGATCAAGCAGTGAAGGTGACATGTCGTCGGCCACATCTTCGACCGACTTGTCGTCTCCAAACAGCAGTGGTCTGCCAAGTCCTTCAAATGAGAAGCCGATGGCACACGGATCGCAGGAGCAAAATGACAGCATGAGGCAGATTGCCTCAATCTTGGCTGAGGAGATCGGTGTGGAACCCGAGGAGCTCAATGGGGATGCGAACCTTGCTGAGATGGGCCTAGACTCATTGATGTCGCTCACCGTTCTCGGTAAAATCCGTGAAGATCTCGATCTTGATCTCTCGGGAGAGTTCTTCATTGAGAATCAAACACTCGATGATATCGAGACTACCTTGGGTCTAAAGCCTAAGCCCGCCCCCGCGGAGCCAATCAGATTCCCCGAACAAATCCCTGTTCGAGCCCCGGTGGTCGCTCCCAGCACTGCCCCCCAGCACCCGCCGGCCACTTCAATCCTCCTGCAAGGAAACCCAAAGACAGCGACTCAGAGTTTGTTTTTGTTCCCTGATGGCTCTGGCTCTGCTACCTCCTATGCTTCCATCCCTGGAATTTCTCCCGATGTGTGTGTCTATGGACTGAACTGCCCATACATGCGCACCCCCGAGAACCTCAAGGCCAGACTGGACGAGCTCACAGCTCCTTACATTGCTGAGATTCGGCGCCGCCAGCCCACTGGCCCTTACAACTTCGGTGGCTGGTCCGCCGGTGGTATTTGTGCCTACGACGCCGCGCGCCAATTGATCTTCGAGGAAGGCGAGCGAGTCGAGCGCCTGCTGCTTCTTGATTCGCCCTTCCCCGTTGGACTGGAGAAGCTGCCTCGCCGTCTGTACAGCTTCTTTGATACGATCGGACTGTTTGGAGAGGGCAAGGCACCTCCACCTAAATGGCTCCTCCCTCACTTCCTGGCCTTCATCGATTCCCTGGACGCTTACAAGGCGGTTCCCTTCCCTCACACAGACCCCAAGCTAGCCGATAAGCTCCCCAAGACCTTCATGGTCTGGGCCAAGGATGGTGTCTGCTCCAAGCCAGGTGATGCCCGCCCTGCGCCAGCTGCAGATGGTAGCCCAGACCCTCGTGAGATGCTCTGGTTGTTGAACAACCGCACTGATCTCGGTCCAAATGGTTGGGATACCCTCGTCGGCCCGAATCATGTCGGCGGCATTACCGTTATGGAGGATGCCAATCATTTCACTATGACTCGTGGCGAGAAGGCCAAGGAGCTGGCTACATTCATTGCTAACTCTATGGCTTCGGCGTAAACGCATTGCATTCGGGGACTGTGACAGGTCTATTTCCAGGAGATTTAGACATGGGCTCTTTTCTCTTCTACTTATCTGTCCATTTTGTATGCTGCTGTCCAGGACAAGTATTTCTTTCCTCCCCTATCTTATTATCTCAGTGTATACATAATCCATAATTTTGCGGCCCTTTGCTACTTTTTGGTTATATTTTAATTAACGAATACGAAATCCAGATTGATGTTTTACATTTCGAAGAATCGTCTTTATTTTCAAAGGCATCAATTGAATGGCTAGAGAAAGTCCCAACACTGAATACACCCAACAGCCCTGGAAGGCCGGGAAGAGGTGCTCCCTCAAAAAAACTAAAGCACTAAGATGTCTGTCATTGGATCTGTGGCGAAAAGAGCTACCATGAAAATCGAATGAAACAGTAGGACTTGCTTGGAGATGACCAGACTCAGATAATGTTGCATCCAAGACCCGGTTTTCTCTCGCGAAACGAAAATCGCTCATGGGTAAATGTGGAGTCGCAATGGATGAAACGCCAGGAAGATGCAATGTCGTAACGAGCGGATGAAAGGAATAAATATCTAGCTAATGTGATGGTGAAATGCTTCGCAAAGAGCAAATGCCCCGTCTATGTATCATGTATAGACGTCATAGATTGGGGTAGGAAAAATGAGTGGCAAGAACATGATCAATGGCAGGGGGCATGGAATTTTATGGGATATTGTGTAATACCCTCAGAAAGGCACCTCTGAGCTGTATCGTAGCGCACTACCCCTGCCCCCATGACCGCCATTACCGTTACCATTATGACCAACCCCGGGGCTAGTCGGACGGCTGCCCGCCCACTTGGGGCTTCGTGGTTGAGTGCTAGTCGAGCGAGTTGATGGACGATTCTTCCGGATTTCACGAAGCTCTTCTTCCTTCCTGCGTAGGAATTCGTCACGCGAAGCCAGAGTTAATTCTAGCTCTTCAATCCGAGCTAGATGGCGAACCGACTCATCCTTCATGTGCAACTCACGAAGTTGCACGGCATTGCTTTCGGCCTTGCGCTTTAGTCTCTCGTTCTCGGTGGCCAAATGGCGGTTTTCTGTGCCGGACTGAGCGGCCGCGGTAGACGCAGTTTGATATTGCTCTCGGGTGTACTCGGATTGGTTTTTCTCAAACTCAGCTTTGCGCTCAAGGTTCGAATTTTCTTTGGTCAGACGACGGATTTCCTCCCGTGCCATCTCCAGTTCAGCAGTACTGCCACCGCCATTTTTGAGTGCTTGTCTAGCTTCGTCGAGCTCGCGCTTCAGCTCTGCCCGTTCTTGTTTCAAACTAGAGATAGTCTCTTTTTGTTTCTCGACGCGCTGTTCTAGAGACGGCTTGTGCTCAACCACACGATCACGCTCTTGGCGAGTTACATGGAGTTCCTTCGTCCGACTCTCGTAACGGTGTTGTAGAACACCCAGAGCTCTCTCCATTTCTCGGAATCGAGAATTTGCCCGAGCAAGCTCAGCCTGCAGCTGGGCTTTTTCACTTGCATGAATGTGTTTCATCTGGATAATATTCTTCTCCAGTGAGATCAAATCACGGTCCAATGTTTGAGTGGGAGGCTTAGTTGACTCGGTCAACTGGCTGTCCTCTTGGGTACCAATCCGTGCGCGCTTCGACGAGTGTTCATCGGGTTCCTCATCCTGCTCCGAAGCGTTAGCTGAATTCAGAAACATCAACATGTGGTATAATTACCAGTGTGCGTTTATGGGCCGGCGGTATCGCCTCGTCAGATGAAGAGCTGTCGCACTCTAACTCCTCCAGGGATACAAGGTTCAAAGGTTTAATGGTAGGCAATGGCCAACCAGCAACACTATCCAAGAGATATCCAAGAATCTCTTCGGCATCTTCAGACGCGCCGAGAGCATCATCCTGGAGTTCACCGGCCTCGTCATGGAAACGGGCAATGTAGTGCACAAGTAAACGCAATCGATCAGGATCCGGCGACTCGGGCAAACAACGCTCAATATGTTCACTTGTGTTGGCGACAAGAAACCAAATGACGGGGAGCAAGCTCCCGTTTCGGGCATAAGTCGTTCGGAGATGCTGCATGAACGGGCTTTTGGGTTTGAAATACGAATCCAGCGCAAAAATAGCAGACGGCGGCTTGTAGAGTTCACGGGCGGTCTCACTCGAATGAATTCCAAAGCTGAGTGACCCCTTGGCTAGGGAAACCTCCAAGGTGCTGCCCATCTCTGCACGGGGTCGGGTGTATGTAAAACCCTTCCCTTGGAGATAACGCTCGAGAACTCCCTGTTTCTTCTCGTCTTGAACAGCGAGAATCAGATGGAGCTCGTGCGTACCTACAATCTTCATGAAATGACCAAGTAGGAAAAACTTTGCACTGGACATTTCCGCCCAGGATGCCTCTTCCGCAAAGTCAGGGTCGGTATTTTTCAAATGATTAGCGAAATTCAAGTCTGGATAGGTTGCAACATTGCTCAGCCGGGCGATGACCTCCCGCATATGTAAATGCAGAATCTCTCGCTGTGAAAACAATGTAAGCAATGCGAATCATATCCAAGAAACATCCTACTTACCTCAGGCTCCGAAACTTGAGTATTCGACTGAAAGCTATCAAAAAATTTGCGCATGCATGTAGCTGCATCTGATAGTACTCGCTCGTAGTGATCCTTCACACGTGCATTCATCGGAAGAGGGACAGCAAATTCAGATGGCCCAAGGTGGACAGAACCGGGCGCAACCACCTCATCCATGTCGGTGACGGTCAACGCACTGGGATGAATAGTTTGAAGTGAAGGTTGGCTCATATGAGCTTCGTGCGCTAGTTCCGAGGGTGGTAGTAAATGTTCAGAATGACCATGGTGGACTGCAGCATGGGAATTGGAAAAAGACTCTGTGTCAGGTCTGACACTAAGCAGAGCAGTTGTTTCGGGGATAGACACAGGCATCGAAGCCTCAATATCCCCCACGGAAGACGGAGTTTGGACAGCGTTAGCTGGTTGCGATAGCTCTGATTGATTCGCTTCGCCGAGTTTGGCCCAGGCGTTCCGTATCATTTCTGTGGGAGTGGACCCTGGCAATTGTCCGTATCGGTCCAAAGTGGCAGCGGAGAGAGAAGGATCCGATGGCTTGGGCTCTTTGTTTTCCATGATTTCGCCAAATGGTTCTTCTTGTACGAGATTAGAAAATGATGGCATTGGTCGAGTGAAACCTTCAGCACTGAGCTCTTCTGGGTGCTGTGACAGGTTTTGACAGACTGTTTCCGGAATTGAGCTCAGATAAGTTGACCGGACGAACACGCAGTCTGTGAGAATGTGAGCAAAATGTGAGCAAAATGTAAAACTTGATGTTGCATGTGAAACTACCTCTGAGGATGGGGCCACACAAGCAAAAAGTCAAATTGTTGTGAGATGGGGTATTATAAAAAGGATAGGAGCTGGGGCACGAGAAGTCAGTTCCTGAACTTGATGGCTGAACAGGCGTCTCGGCTATTTCGGAGACGTTGGAGCTCAGTCCAACACCCGGCGTGTTCGGGTGTGATAATAATTCAGAAACGTTGTTGATTTCCGCAGAGTACTGTCGATGCGATGAGCATCTATTAATCAAATCGGCCTTTAGATCACAAACCGGACCAGGCTGCTGCGTGTTGATGTCGTCCCACTCACCTCGTTGCAGGTATTCAGGTGGACTAGGTGACTCAGGGATGTATTCGTCGGCTTGCAGGCGAGGGTTTGTAGATGGAGGTTGAGATAGAGAGGCGGTCCCGTAAAAGCAGCTCGAGACTTCAATGTACTGAGATTGAAGAGAGTCTACTATCTCTGAGATGTTGTCTTGTTGCACAAAGAGCGACGAGGAAGCTCTTGAATGATTATCAGAATCAGTGTCCTCAGTCTCGTCAAAGGTAGTACGGTAGCTGTCCCCTTGTCCTGTATTTTCTTCTGATGATGAGGAAGAGACTTCGACGATGCTGGGCGATTGCGTAATCCTCCCACTTATCGACTTCCGATCTAGCGCACTTGATCGCCGAGCTTTTTGCTTGTTCCAGACCCGTATAGCAAGCTCACTTGCGTTCTCTTTGGGTTCCTAAACAAGCAAAGCGCGCATTTGTTAGTTCAAGCTCGGCAATCATTTCTTTGATGCCTTTTATGTCCAATATTGCCACGGAACTCACCCAAGTCGGATCGTATGGACCCTCCCAATCAATGAGATACTCGGTGTCTGTTTCACGGAGGATACACTTGATAGGCCACTCCTCGTCGTCCAAGTCACTACCGTCGCTGCTCTCACTGCTGTCGCTAATAACCACAATTGTAGCTGAAGGCCGGTCAGTATTCTTTCTGTGGTGACTTTGGAGTTTCGGCGAGCGAAGCTGCTCCCGAAGCATCATGTGCGGGCGATTGGTGTCGGGGAGATGTTGGATAACATGACGGGGGTGAAATGAGAGCGTAGGTTCAATACTCAATATAAGCTCATATGAGCTGCATTGATCCGAGACACATACAATTTTTAATTCTGGGCAACATCTGCCACTTCCCCAAAGCACTGTGACGGTATATGAAAGAGGGTAAACGCATGGCGCGACGGGCGGACGGATAGTGAGCCCGCTTCACGTGATAACGCTTATCGGTAGATCTACAATATTTGGGAATAGTGACATGCTGATCAAGGGTTATAGGCTCATATATCTATTTAATAATTCAAAAGATGCAAAAATATTGGATTTCTAATTGATTTAGATCACCGTTAATGCTGTAGGTACTGGTTGAGATGTGACATTGTACCATAATCATCACTGATCATCTTGTTGCCTCTTCCACTCTTCAAAGTCGAAACCGAGCTCCGCTAGATCCTTGATCTCGCTCCGTGCGTCACCCCGTTGTACGAAAGCACGTCTGATTTCTGGGAAATGGGCCCGCATCCATCTTTCCCGCTCACCCCACCGAGTACCAAGTTTGCCTTGTCCGTTGCTAGAGAGGCCAGGTCGTGGGTTGGCCTTCTTCGCCCAGTCGTAGAGAAAATTGAGGTAGTCAGCATCCATGGGAAATGGAAGCAAATGGAAATCCTTTCCATCTCCTTTGGCTTCAATTTCGGAAGCTTCCCATGCCTTCATCTCATCTTTTGGTGGAAGCGTAAGCCGCGCAGACCATACACGAGAGAAGACAGCAGCGTGGTTCTCAGCCATAGGGAATGGAATCACCCGCTGCGAAAGCACGGGGAAGACGAGAGTGGGGTGCTCTATATAGAACAACTGCTGGTAGACATTCATTGTTCGCCATCCGTGGGTCACAACCGGTGGGTTGAGTGAAGATAGGAAAGGATATGAATAGAAATAGCCGGTGCAGAAGACAACAGCGTCAACATGTTCCTCGATGCGACCATCCGCAAATTTTATACCTCTGTCATAGGTTGTCGGAGGAAGAAACTCGACTATCTCCGGGCAGATGATTTTATCGTCATTTGCGGATGCAGCCAAGTATGATTCAGATCGTTGGGAGACCAACAGCTTGCCTTGGCTTACTTCATTGATCTGGGAACCAATGTCCAGGCCCGAAGCAGAACTTCCGACCACCACAACTTTCTGTCCTTGGAAAGGTTCTGGGGAGTTGTAAAACTTGGAATGAGAGATAGCACCTGGGTATGATGCATCCCAGGCTTGTATTCCTAGGATGTCAGGTATGTAAGGGACCGTGAAATGACCGCTTGCAACCACCACAGCATCATATGTGTGGGTTGTGTCTATGCCAGTCTGAAGACTCTTTGATGTTAGACTCCAGGTGCTCAGACTTTCATCCTTGAGTTTCACTTCTAAGACTTGTGTCTCAAAGTGAATGAGGCCTTTGACGTCTTCGCCATATTCTTCGAGGTATTGTTTCACCGTCCGATGCTTGGGGAAGAGCTGGGATTCCAATGGGAAGGCCATATCCGAGTAGCGCATTAACTCCTTAGGGATGTTGGTTTCCAGTCGATCGTATACTGGAGACACGAATGTTGCCTCACGCCCCCCATTGTGATCGATCCACACTGGCTTCTCGACTGGCTCATGGGGGGTTAAATGTGGGACAGCTGTTGATCTCCCTTCTTTAGAGGAGCTCGGACTGTAGTTCCAAACTCCTCCTACGGAGCTTCTCTGCTCGAAGACTTCGATTTGGTCGAAATATTTCTCGGCGAGCAGGTATCTGAGTCGGTCAGCATTGTCATGTTGGCGGATGTGTAACAACCCCGCTTACTTGACTGCAGCAAGGCCGGAGGGCCCCGCGCCGATGACAGCCACTCGCCGAATAGTATTTGTGATTGACATGCTTTCAACGAGCTCTTGGGAATTCCTGGTGACCTATGTAGTCAGAAATGCGAAGGTGAGTTGCGAGATAAAAGAAGTGACCTTGGAGGATGCCAAGCGCTTTCGCCATAGTGGAGCTGCTTTATATATCCGGTGTCTTATAGCGTAGGCCCATAACGATATGAAGAATACACTACAAGAATGTTTTCACTATATTCATGTTCAAAAGCAGTGCATAATCCTCCGTATGTGACTATATAATAAGATCGACCAATCAGCAAGTCTCATTGGACATGGACAATCCAACCGAAGAGGGTAACTTTTGTTCTCGCAATACCGAAATTACGCCCTTTTCCTGCTGTTTTTACTGTAACATTACCCAACAGAGCTGCAGCTGCCGAAGGTCCTCTTTGTTGCACGAAATATTCATCTTCATTTCCTTCAGCCCAGTTTTATATACTCGCATTTTTACCCTTCTTATTTTATATCGACTATTACTCCTGTTTGATATGAGGCCAGCTTGATAAAACAACAGTCAGTCGGGCGTGGGCAAACCGGTGCAATGAACGCGATTGAGCAGTCTCCCGCGTCGAATGCGCTGGCGCAGTTGACCAGGGTCCCGATAGCTCAGCTTTCCCCAGACCTTGAGAAATTGGCCGAGAAGTCTTTTCTTGCGGCTGTAGCACTTGTGTGGCCATACTCCTCTTCGATCAAGACTGTGAGCCTTCTATTAGCGGAGCCGGATTTCCGCCTGAGGGGCGCCAGAGGACAAATCAAGGTCACGTTCCACGGACGCGTCGCAGAAAGGGTCGCGGAATCGCATGTCGGAATTGGGGATACCGTTAGTCTGGCCTTGAAAGACATCAAGTTTGTCAGCAATGAAGACGCCCAGAAAACCCCGGGAAGGTCTGTCGCATGGGATGCGCACTTTGAGAATGGCGTATCTCTCGAGGTATGTTGCTCCCAAACTCGATATGTGTCTTATGGTGACTAACTGCTGCCTATCTAGATCTACCGATCTTCCCAACCTCCGTTGATAATATCGGTTGAGCCGCAAGTGACAGCACCGCATGAAACCGAACCAGCACCGCCTACCACCCCTAGTGGCAAATCAATCAATCCCGAATTCGACCTGCCTTCTAGTGCACGGCCCTGGGGATCACCTATGTTCCTCAATTCTACTCGAACCCCACTTGGGGGAACAATCCGTTCCGTTTTCGATCCTTTTACGGAAGAAGATGGATTTGTGCCAGGGAAAGGAAGAAAAAAGCCGAGGTACAGCTTGCACAGGGAAGATTGGCGTGTTATCAATGAACCCGAAAGCCCTCACGAGCAAGAAGCTCCTGTGGATTGGGAACAGGCTTTGAATCAATCTATCGATCAAGAACTCGAGGCAGACTCGGCGAGTGAGACTTCAATGACGGATGATGTCCAAGCTCCAACATACGCAGAGGATGCACCACAAGAGCCACTTCCAGTGTTTGCGAAGCCTTCTCTTGAATTGACCGGGAGTATCCTCGAAAGACATGCCGCCGAGTCAAATGTTGTGTCTCATGGACAAGTTGATGATCATGAAACACCTTTCTATCTGCCAACGGATACGCCGCAGATTCGACCTATCCCTTCTCCGGGGCTCCCGATTCCTTCGCCACTCGTATCAAATCATGCTGGCTCAACTAGCTATTTCCTGCCATGGACCGCGCCCACACAATCCCAAGAGATTGGATATGCTCAGGCGGGAATAGATACCATAGCAACGCCCGCAGCATCCTCCATCGAAACCCATGATACCGACACCATCGATTCCATCCACGCAGATCTAGTGGAAACAGTTGATCCGGATGTTGAATCCATCCAGCAGGAACATGTCTTCGATGCTGGGTTTGTCCGCGATGATTCGGCATCATATCCAGGCTCAGAAGATTTACCGGAGAAGCAGGGAGTTGAGATAATCGACTCCATAGCTATTGATAGGTCAGATGTCGTTGAAGCTGACATGACCATTGATACTACTGGCGACAAAGCTCAAAAGTCAAATGAACTAGAGCAGTATCCTGCTTTTGATGATCCTAACCTATCCCACGACCATCCAGCACGACTTTCGGACTCGGAAGATAAATTGGATGACTCCCCCAATACCAACGATGAATCACCTGCCGCTCAAGCTGATGCTGTTACCGAAAATGCCGGCGACGAAGCTCAGGCGTCAGATGAAACAGATCAAGAACGTCTCGTTGATTCCAGTCACCTATGGCGCGATGACTCAGGATCATCCTCACCTTCGGAGGAGGCTGGGCAAGATGAATCACTCGAATCCTCAGAAGAGATCGATGGATCAGATATTGCTCAACATGATCTTGGCATCGAAACTGCCAGCGACAATTTGGGATCTCCTCAATATCCGGGTGAATCTCGTGATGAGGAACATCCTGAGCCAGAGACTCAGTTAGTCAACTATCCACAACTAGGGTTCACGTCTGATCAGGATGCGATCGATGCCCTCGGAAAAATGATAGCCGCTCGAGATGAGGAACACCAAAAGATGAAAGATACAGAAGAGGAAAAAGAAAGCGAAAAGGATGTCGATCGTCCACCCAGTCAAGAATACAGTGAAGAAAAGGATGAAGAAGTGTACTATGCGGAGTCAGTGGAAAATTACGATTCTCAATGTGAATCTGAAGAGGACGAGGAGGATTTATATGGTGATCCTCGTTTGGAATCACGATTGGACGAAGATGACTTCGGTGTCGTTGAATCTAGTGGTGAAAAGCTTGAGCAGGAACAAAAGCTGCCCTCGCAGGCGGGAAGCCATGAAGTAATCGTGCTGGACAGTGACAGTGATGATGAGTTTGCCTCCAATCATCCGGTAGCCTCAGCTTCGCAGTCAGCAGAACGAAACGATCACTCATACCGCTCTGAATCCGAACATCTCACTGTCCCTCCAGCTGCAGCCGAATTTGCAAGTGGTGTACAGGAATATCCAGAGCCGTGGTATCTCGACGGAAAAGACTATCACGGAGTAGTGGAAGACGATTCCGATACTGATGAATGCCAAAGTGAAGACAGTGAAGAGAGCGAAGACATTGAAAGGAGTGAATACGGTGGAGAAAGCGAAGACAGGGAAGCGAGGGAAGACAGGGAAGACAGGGAAGACGAGGAAGAGGGGGAAGACGAATACAATCAACAATATGACCGAGTTTACGAAAGTGATATGGATGATGACGAGTCGTCCCAAGACCACTATGAAACGGACCGTCCATCTGAAGTGGCATCACCCAACCTTGCGGAAGATGAAGATAAACAAATTAAACATGCGGAGCTCATCGAAGAAACTGACAACGACGGATATTATGCTGTGGCCAACCCTCACGCACAGATAGGAGTGCCAGTCGATCGAGACTCTAACGAGGGGCAATCAGGCAATGCTGATCCAAACTTGCTTGATGTGCCTGAATCTCATCATCAAGGCCCATCCTTGGAAGGCAAAAATCATGCTGGGCAGTATCTCACTGGGGACGGACAATTTGATTTGCATATTCCTTCGTCTGCTAGAAATACCATAGCCGATTTCCCGTTGAAGCATGAGCCAACTGTCGAAGGACCTGAGCCACTTGGCGATCGAGTCTCGCCGTCCACTGGGTCTCCATTGAAGCGACAACCCTCAACATCAGACCCCACCCAGGAAAATGCATCCGCGCTTGAACTGGTTCATGATTTTGAACCTCAAGCTTCATCCACGATCGAAGAAACCGAAGCCCCTACTGGTCTTGATAACAATTTGCAGCTGGCTGGCTCCCCAGAGTCAGACCAAGACGATGGTATCGGGGCAGAACTCATAAAAAACTCACATAAGATCCACGTTGACGGACATGATGATGCCGTAGCTCCTTCGGAATCCGTTGAAGCCGCAGAACCCCCAGCAACGCCCGAACCTGGCCGCTCTGTGGATGTTGTGATTGAATCTCCGAACACATTGGCAGTTCCCATTTCACAGCCCTCAGTTCCCGACCGTAATGCTTCTGGACTGCGGAGCAAGCTTTCCTACTTTGCACCGCTTGCTACACTCATTGATCATTACAATGCTCTAGTCGATACCATCTCAATCGTGCATGAAGCTTCGCCGATAACCCGGGCCAAATCTGGTTCGAAAGACTGGTTCGTGACTATTGAACTTACCGATCCATCTATGGCTGGCATGACTCTTCATGCTCAAATTTTCCGGCGCCACAAGGCCTCGATGCCGACATTGGCAGAAGGGAACGCCATACTCTTACGCGACTTCAAGGTCCAGAGTTTCGATCACGCCATGATGCTTGTCAGTGCCGATACTAGCGCGTGGGCAGTATTCGACGGGTCGGGTCCCGATGCCGAGACGAACGGACCTCCTGTCGAATATGACTCGCAGGAACGTGCGTACGCCTCTGGCTTACGTCGATGGTACGATGAAATTGGCTCGGCTAGGGTCGCGGACCATCTGCTCCAGGCAGCTATCGAGAGAGACAGAGAGGAGCGCGATATGACACCAGGCAGCCAAGTGCCAAGTGAGTCAGGGACCCCAGATTCTAAGCGAGGCTCGCAGCGCAAGCGCAAGAGCACTCGAAGAATCACGATCCATGAGCTGCGTGATGGCACTCGTTATACGGAGGTCGGGTCCCCAAACAGTCGGAACAGCAGTGTTCACGAATTACGGGATGGCACGTTGTATGCCAATATTTGAAATGGTCGTCTTAAAATCTTGATTCTTGTGTGGTGTCTCTGTTACAATTCACCTGTACCTACCGAGTAAAACAAAAGAATACATATGAACGAGTGATCAAGGGATTCGCAATCTTCCATTCCCGTTCTCTATCTCTTGACTTTCTCGTTCTGATCATCATGTGGCAAAATCTCATTCTTTAAAGGGGGAATCATAGCTTTGTGGGTTTTCCAAGTGGTTCTAATAATGTGACAAGTCCCAATAGCCTTACCAGTACCGGAATAATCATGACTTACTGCCAATAGATGGAAACGTGTGTTCTGTTCGTTCTTGCCTGGCCAGTCGTAGTAGCGAGGTCTGAAGATGACGCCATATCCTGAATAGCCATTGACATTGCAGCAGCGACATTATTGTTGTGATCGCGACTAGAAGCCCGCAAAAGGCCATGGCTAGTACCTCCTAGATAAACGATAAACTTCTATATAGATAGTTTTCTTGTTGTTTAGTTTGTTTTCTTGATCTGCTGTGTCGGACACTACAGGTTCATTTGCTGGTACGGGATGAGGCTCAACTGGGAGGGTTGAAATGCGGCTGAACAGTGGGGCCTGCTTCAGACTTTGCAAGAATCAGCAGAGTCGGAACACCTACCCTGGTAGGCTACTCGAAACCTTCAGGCAACTGTATGTGCTCTTGGAAGTTTGTTACACCGCGTCGTCAAATGTATGCGTCCACTACCAAAGCGGTGTGAGAAGCGAAAGCGGTCGGTATATATTTCTCAAACTTCCTCTGCATTCTATTTCATTATATCCTCACTAGAAAAGCAGCGAAAATACGCAGGTTACAATGGGGCAAGAGAACGCTCTCCGTGTGCTTGTCATTGTCTCAAACCAGAGTCCGTTTTGGATACAGGCCTGCGACTCGCCAGAAGGCCTTATTCCAATTGCTATTCAAGTCATCAAGGATAGTAAATTATACGATGTGCAAGAAGATGATACACCAGATACAAGGCTGTTAGCGATACAGAAATGGCGAGTCCGCACACTTTTCATATTCGATATCTCCAACAATGATTATGATCCCACACTGGGCCATCTTGCCGAAAAGAACAAACTGCCAGTCATCGTGGCCCATCTCAGCCGCAAGCAAGTTGCTTACAAACCTCATCCGGGAACACGCGAAAGGATCAATAAAGATGTGGCATTTTTCCATGATGCAAATGGCTTCGGGGGTACTCCGCCGTTTATTGAAGATCACACCTTGGAGAGCCCGCCTGTGTATCCAAATCCACGCAGTCTCAGAAACTCGGGCCCATGAAGCAAAATTACGGCAGTTTCTGCATACGTGGAGTCGAGTAATCACAGCAGTGCAAGATGCATGATGCATGATCTTTAAGGACTCCTCCCCGCCAGACCAGTTCAGATGCCTAAACTTCAAAGAGACATACCTACTGTCTATGTTGTATGTAATATAAATTAGGAAGGTCCACTGTTGGTGGGGTAGCGGGATCAACGATTCACGTGCTCTCTTCCCAAGGTTCCCTTGAAACTCTGCCCAACCCCGTGTCCTTCCTTTGATAACTAGGATCATCCCAAAAACTCCGAAAATCACAGTCGAGTAACAACTTGCATGATTGGCTGGAGTAAATGGATTTGTAACTAAGAGACATATACTACTCCGTAGTTAAATATGATCATCCTCGGAGCGTACCTACTCCGTAGAGAATCCACAATATAGACATTTAGTGGAGCACACCTTAACTCTCTCAGAGTGGAACTTTCCAAGAAATTAACCTGATTAGTCATCACAACTTGCCAGCCACCGAGTTACCTAACTATGTTGTAGTCATTCACCATCCGTGCGCCATTGCAAACCTCTGATTAGTTTGGACCCCGGCTCACTCAAAACATTCACAATTCCCTATGACGCTCCCTTTCTAAAAAAAAAAACCACCGCCTCATAAACCACGTCCTCTTTCACCCGAGACGATGCCGGAACTCGATGATGTCAAGCCAGCAGAAATTACTTTTCAAAGAAAAGCTTTTTGCCTCTAAGTTTTCGATCATATTTCTCGTTGAGATCCGCCAACAAACATGCATCATGAAGGTGGTAAGTCGAATAACAAGTACTATGTATCTAGACAGTCTTGCTAATACAAGTAGCACCATGGGAGGGGGCCACGGCGCTACTACGAACAGGAAGGTCGTGAATTGGATATTCACGTACTTGAAACCACTGCCTATACTCGGCTGAAAGAACACGGACTGTGCGATCGTGGAATTGTGCCAGACTTCTTAGGTTCCATGAGGAAGTTTGACCCCACTCTATGCCAGCCTCACCTGAACAAGTTTCTAGAGGACGAATACCCACCCAGCGCTATCTTTCTTGAGTACATCGCCGGCCTGGAGATGATCACCTTGGAAAATTATACGCCGCAGCGGGTGAACAATCTCCTAGAGGGTATTCGCCAAATACATAAAGCGCTAGTGCGGCATCGAGATCCAAAACCACGGAACATGATGATCGTCAAGGATAGTTCAGAGAGAGTTGTTTGGCTGGATTTTGATCGAGCGGAAACATACAACAAAGATCAAATTACCGCGCGAGAAGAAGACCTTATCAAGGAGGAGGAAGCAATTGTCATGGAATTCAAAGATGCCATAGTAAGTGCGCTAACAGTCCATACATAGTGAAGATCTAAATTCATCAATGTTATTATATATGGCGGTCATAATGTATAATTGCTTCGCTTCGCTCCGCAATGAGTTTACATCTTAGACTGCTTCTCTGCCGCAAAATACTCTGCGCTGACAGCAGCCTGGATCAACTGATTGGCAATAGCCGTAGGAGGGGGCAATCGCAAACCGCCCTTGTATTCTGGACCAGCCGGACCGCTCAAGTCACTTGTACCAATGCGCAGCGCCTCCTGCACCTCCTCAATTTCAAACCATCGCGCATCCTCCAACTCAGGGTCATGCAGTAAGGAGATCGTCTCGTGAGCGGGGTCACTGACCTGAGCAATAGCACCAATCATCAAATTGGCCGGATACGGCCAAGGCTGCGAGGAGTGGATAACAACGCGGGACAATGTGACGCCCGATTCCTCCCACACTTCTCTCCGCACGGCATCCTCGATTGACTCGGCTGGCTCGATAAATCCAGCCAAAGTGGAATACCACCCTGGCGGGAAGCGCTTGGAGCGCCCGAGGAGGACCCGCTTGCCATCGGCGGAGACCACCGCAACAATGATAGTCGGATCGGTACGGGGGAAGGAAAGGTTTGACAGCGTAGTACGGGTATTGCACTCCGGCCGCTCTTCCACCTTGCCCTCAATTCCTAGTGCAACATCCGTCGGCGGGCAGGCACGCTTGGTTCCTGCATTCACGGCCAAAGTACGGTGGCCGCATGTGCCACAGAAGGTGTTGCGAGCGTTCCAGTCCATCAGCGCACGTGCCTGTGCATAGATAGCAGCTATCCCGAGTTGATTAGTTTCCTCTTATCGATGCAGACATCACGATCGCATCTTCATACCTTCATCTGCGGAGAAGGACATGACAACTCGTGTTTGGAAGAATGACAGTCCCTTCGCCTCCATGGCAGCGATTATATCCTTCGCTGCAGTCTGCTGCTCTTCAGGTCCCTTGGGGGTCACATCGACTGCAAAATATGGCGTGCCAGAGTAGATCTTGTACGTCAGGCCCCCTTCTTTGTGACTCTCGTCCAGTCCGAGGAATATAAGGGTCGGGTGTGTCTTGCGCGAGTCATAGTTCTTGATCATGTCTTCCTCGGATTTATCGAAGATATCCTGGGGAACAAGCTTGCGTACATCGTCATACTTGGCATAGTATAGCTGCGACGGTGACGGAGTCAAGGGCGCTAGGTTGTTCAACAGTACAAATCGGGTCGAAGGGTGCTTTAGAGCACTGGACAGGAACGGGTGGTCGGAGCGCAAGAAAGATAGACGATTGATTGGAGAACCTGAATATTCTTTAGCCCTACTGTGCCCCATATACAAGAGTTCAAGACATCCTTACTGGAGAAGTAATTAACCGTCTCTTTGCCAAAGTGTCGGGACAACATTGAATCCGCGAGCGTATGAGCCGGGGCGGGGATCAGGGCAGTCGTGCTCATTCTGTAAGAGCCAAGTCGCCAGCAAGGAATGTCTAAAATGGTAAGTATATGAACAAGAAGAAGAATCTCACTCAATAACGAGTCTATATCTAAAATATCAAGACGTGGAATCCAGCACCGACAGGCGGAGAAATCGCATTAATCAGCAGCCGACCTCGGGATGCTTACAAACTGATTACATGTTTTTTTGGTCGGAGTTAAGCCGACAGTGCCGAGGGAAGAATAGATTACAGTAATGTATAGTCATGTCATTACCACAGAAGCGGGGGAATCTGAGCTCCCCCCACACGTGACCTCATTCTTTCGGCTCTTATCGCCGGTGAGCCTCTGTGCAAAGCACAAGACACAGACGTCTCAGTCATATTAGGAATCATGGGGCATCTAGTCACTCTAGCAACATGGTAAGGCTGACACATTTACTATTTCGATACTAGGAAGTCCCGCGCTAACCCGTTCTAGCTCTCTTAACCAGTGGGCTCTCGACTTCGAGGGCAACGCGGAGCGTATCATTGAGAGCATCAGGCAAGCCAAGGCTGCCGGTGCTACCTTGCGTGTTGGACCAGAGCTCGAGATTACCGGATATGGAGTTCTGGATGGTTTCCTTGAGGGCGACACCTTCATGCACGCATGGGAAATGTTCGCCCGCATCATCGACCATCCCGATTGCCAGGATATTGTGGTTGATGTGGGATTGCCGGTTCGCCATCGCAATGTGCGCTACAACTGTCGGTAAGTATTCCCGATGTGACCGATATAGCATTAGCTGATATATTTTCTCAAGTGTCATTTTCCACAACCGGAAGATTATCCTGATTAGGCCGAAGATGTGGCTTGCCAATGGTTCGTTCAATTACTCTTTATGCTCAGGAAAATAGTTTCTAATATCAATTCTTAATCTAGATGGCAACTATCGCGAGCACCGACACTTTACGCCATGGCAGCGTCCACAGGAGGTGGATGACTACTATTTAGAATCAATTGTTGGAGATATCACAGGCCAGTACAAGGTTCCATTTGGTGATGCCGTTATCAGCACAAGAGATACGTGTCTGGGTCTTGAGACGTGCGAGGAGCTGTTTACCCCTAATGGGTAGGTGTTGAACTCTCTAAGTGGCTGTGGATGCTAACAATCGATTTTAGCCCTCACATCCCGTATGGCCTAGCTGGTGAGTATCAATATCCATGGCCGCGCTCATGTCTAATCCAAATTAGGTGTTGAGATCATCTCGAATTCTTCGGGCAGCCACCACGAACTGAAGAAGCTTAACACTCGGCTCAATCTGATCACCCAGGCTACCAAACTGGTGAGTGAAAAACAACGTTTTAATAGCATAACACTTTTCTTACAGCTCACAGAGTGGTGGAATCTATCTTTACGCCAATCAGCAAGGCTGCGATGGCGATCGTCTGTACTATGACGGGTGTGCTATGATTGTCGTCAACGGTGACATCGTGGCCCAAGGTTCACAGTTCTCTCTGAACGATGTGGAAGTTGTCACTGCAACGGTCGACATCGAAGAAGTCCGCACCTACCGGTGCAGCGCAAGCCGTGGAATGCAAGCGAGCAAGCAATCTCCCTTTGTCCGCCTTGATCTTGATATCAGACTGTCTCACCGGGATGAAGATGCCGAACCTAACCTCGCGCCTGCTCTGCCTATCCAGCCGCGGTACCATCCTGCCGAGGAGGAGATTGCTCTGGGGCCTGCCTGCTGGCTATGGGATTACCTTCGGAGATCTGGAGCCGCCGGTTTCTTCCTCCCTCTGAGCGGTGGTATTGACAGCTGTGCCACGGCAATCATTGTGCACTCCATGACTCGCGAAGTGCTCAAAGCAGTGCGCCAAGGGAACCAGCAGGTCATCAAAGATGTCCGCCGGTTGTGTGCGAAGCCAGAAGACTCAGATTGGCTTCCTACCACCAGCCAAGAAATTTGCAAGTAAGTTTTCCAAGTGATCAGTCTTTAGGCCAAAATTATCTAGCCTGGGGCAACATTAACCAATCTCTCTAGGTCTATCTTCCATACCAGCTACATGGGCACACAAAACTCAGGCAAGGAGACACGAGACAGAGCGGCTCGGCTGGCCTCCGATATTGGGTCTTACCACATTGACTTCAATTTCGATACTGTGGTCACCTCTATCATGAATCTCTTTACTGTGATCACTAAATTCCAGCCTCGTTTCAAAAT